AGAAGAAGAAGAAGAAGAAGAAGAAGAAGAAGAAGAAGAAGAAGAAGAAGAAGAAGAAGAAGAAGAAGAATGATTCTTAGGAGCTCCTGAAACCCTGGACAATCTCACTAGTCCTATAGTCACCTGTACCCCCTCACCAGCCCCTTCTTTCTGAAGCCACAGATAAAGGTCATAGGCCAAGTAAGCAGCAAAACCCAGACCACCCTAAGTTCTCCTAAGTACTCCCCTCCTCCCCTGCCAGGCTGGCTCTCAAGATCAGTACCAGGAAAAGCAAAGTCACAGCAGAAAGGGACGGACACCCAAGACACTGCCAGTCTCCCAGCCCCGCATCACTGCGTCGGGTCTGGGCCATTCTGGGGTCTCAGATCTCAGTGGTGGGCCCAAAAGTGCTGCTGATGTGGTTGGCCAAGTCTGAGAGAAGCCCAGGGGACATCTTAAGCCTGGGAATCATCAAACTAATCTCATGCTGGACATCGCTAATGACACACCAAGTGTCAGTGCAAAAGGTACATCCAGAAAAAGAGAGCCTGGTACGTGTTGCAAACTTCAGGTGCTGGCATCATGGTGATGGGTGCATTGTGTCCTATCCTGCTGTGACTGCCACTACCACCCACCGGGACAGGACAGTCCCTCTCCTTCCACATCTCTGATGTGCTCTCCACGATGCAGCCAGAGAGGCCAGTCCAGGAACAAAAGGCCACACTGCGCTACCCACATATTTAAAAACCTCCATCTCAGGATAAATCTAGACCCCGCCATACTTACTTCACTCATAAGGAGTCACACGCATTTCCTGACACCGGCCAGGATTCTGCTTAAATGATTTCTGCAATGAAGGTTTTCCTGCTTGTAAGATGGAGTTAGGGGCCCTCCCTGCTCCCACAGTCTTTGTTCTCTGGCTCCCTGAAGGGTTTGTGTGCTCCGTGGGAACATGGCCTGTATCTTCCTCATCTGATGGGCTCTCCAGCCCCCTCTAACTGGAGCCAAGGTATGAACTTGAGTTCCAGGACTGGGCATGTAAATGGCTATGGGCTCTTTGGCTGTCAGTTTCACTTTCTTCTTGGCTACATAGGGTCAGAGTAAAATACACCCTACTTAGCACAGAATTGTCAATTATGAAGAGTTTTACATTTCCTGAATCTAATTATTTTTGTCAGCTGTGACCAAGGACAAGGGTGCTGATGTGGTGCATAGCCAGCACCAAGGACAGGTGTCAGTGGTGGCATTGGGCAGTGGAAGGCAAGCAGGGGCCAAGGACAGAGAGGGAGGACAGCTGGCCTCCAACAGCCGGGAGGAGGGGGTGGGAGGGCAGCTCCCAGCCTTGGAACCCATGCCAGGGTTTGTCTGGAAGGGAACTTTCCTCCAGACTGGTTCTGGAGGGAACCTAGGGGTGAGGCCATCACCACATAGTCAGTCAGGCCAAGGGCACAAACATTTTCAGATAGGGCCATTAGCTGACAGCAAATAAACTCCAAATAACTTTGCCATTCTAATAAAAAATTTTACCTTGAAAAAAGCCAAATACAAACTCAAGCACATGTGATGTTTCCAGAATTTTATGATGTTCTTATGATGCTTCCACTGAAATTCTCCTGCAAGGCAGCTCAGAGGAGGTCTGCACCCAGCCCCAGCCCGACCTACTTCCCAGGTTATTTTAAGAATTCCTGAAAATTCTGACCCCCCCATACCCCCATCTCTGCTGGGCTCTTTCAGAACTCATTTCCCCCCGCCAGCCCCACTGGTCATCTGGTTACCTCTAAAGAACACCCTTTAGAATCAGACCCTATGCCTTGGATTGCTAGGATTTGCCATTCCCCAGATAGACTTGAATGGATGTCAGTTTCCTCCTATGTCCCCTTTCATGCCAACCCCTTGATGGTACCCTCAAAATGCTGTGTGCTCCCTTGGCTCTGTTTCCCCAGAGCTCCTGAGGCTGTTGGGTCAGTCATTATTCAAGACCAACAAGTAAGGACCTTGGTTTGACCCAGAATGTGAACCTGACCTACCTCTGAAAACACAGCACGTCATTAAGGTCTGGCCAGCTGGGTCTTTCCAGGTCGGGGATCAGAGTCCTTCCTCTGGAAGGACCAGCTTCACTCCTGGTCCACAGCAGTTAGCTACTTAATGAAAATTGCCAGCTTCCTTTTCACTGAATTCTGGACTCCTCATCTGCTTTCTCACCACTGTGTATCCACTCCCAGGCACCCCTCAGAAGCCCAGTTAGTTTAGAACAGGCCTGAAAGCAAAGAAATCATGATGCCCAAAGCAAACACTCACATTCTTCTCCTGGGACTCAGGGAGGTTGCCTGCCTCTTCACTGTTCTCCTCCTGTCCCTCATTCTCTCCGGTTTCTTCTGTCTTCTCTGTTCCCTAGTCAGGAAAGAAACCCAGGACATCACTAACTGTTATGGTTTGTGTCTCAGGCCGTCTTAGGCTTTTTCAGAGGTGGTTGAACCTAGGGTTTGTAATTGATTCCTGGTTCATAGCTGGGATTAAGGATGTGAGTGCTACATTGCCCTAGAGCAGGGAGCCTACATCCACTATAAGGGACACAAAGAGGCTTCTGCCCTTTCCCTTGTTGCTTTTGTGTTTCCCATCACCATGAACTGTTACCCCTCTGCTGTGTACCATCCTGCCTTGGAACTAGTCAATTGTGGGATGAAACTTCTACAAAATGTGAGCTAAATAAGCCTTTCCTCTCTTAACTTGTTCATGTTGGGCATTTTGTCTCAGCAACAAGAAAAGTAAATAAGCAGCTGGTGAGATAGTTCAGTAGAATAAGCACTTGATTTGCAAGCGCAGGGTCCTGAGTTCAATCCCCGGTACTGAAAAAAAAAAAAAAAAGAAAGAAAAGAAAAGTAACTAAGACACTAACCTTTAATAAACTCACAAGGAAAATTGAGGCCACACTTACGGATCTTCTGTATCTAGATGACAGTGTATAGATGAAGTGCAGAGGCCTCCTATTTATGAGGTTGCTTAATTTCTAGAGCATGAGCTTGCTAGGCCTCCAAATAACTGGTTGGGCTTATCAGTGTCAGTCAGTAGACTGATGTGCATGCAACAGTAATAAGCAGCCAAGTGAGGGATTGCAAGTCACCCAATCAAGGCTTGTGAAGGCAATGGACAAAATGAATGGGTGTAAAGAGAGAAATAAGGCAGGCAGAAAGGATGGATGGATGGATGGATGGATGGACGGACGGACAGATGGACGGAGCAGAGTAGACAGCAAGCCCAAGTAACCACCCTGAGAACACTGGCAGGGGGTAGGTGGCTTGCAGTGCCAGCCCTTACCTCAGTGGTGCTCTCTGCCTCTCCTGCTACATCACCATTGGGAAGGGAAGATCCTTCCTCGGGCGACTTTGTTACCTGCATCACATAGATTGAGAACATTTAAGAATTTTCTGGAGGATCATAATTTGCATTTCAATATCTTTTTTTTTTTAAACCGGGGATTGAACTCAGGGCCTCGTGCTTGCCAGGGAAGCACTTATTCCAATGAGCCATCTCCCCGGCCCCCCATTTCAATATCTTTTAACTATTCAAGTTGTATTTGTCTTCATCCTCATTTCATGTGCAGCAAAACTGGCCTTAGTTGGTAGAACAGTCCTTACCACCCACAGACTCAAAATAGGTCTGCCTGTCCCACTTGATGCTTTTGTAACATGAAGTTATTCCCAGCCTCTGCAAACACACATTAGAGTTCACGGGAGCAAAATAAGCCATACACACATGCTCCATCTCTACCTTTCTATGATAAGCAATATTAAAAAATTGAAAGCCAGGCATGATAACATGTCTATAATATAGCATTCTGGGAAGCAGTGACAGGAGAATCCAAGCACAAGCCCAGCCTGGGCAACTTGGCAACTTAGCAACTTTGCAAAGACCTTAGTCTCAATTGTTTTCAAAAAAATTTCTCAAAAGAGGGTTGAGGATGTAGCTCAGTGCAAAGGCCCTGGGTTCAATCTCTAGGATAGATGATAGAGAGAGAGAGAGAGAGAGAGAGAGAGAGAGAGAGAGAGAGAGAGAGAGAATTTTGACGTGTGACCAATTTTATTCCAATATTTATTTATTTAAAGGCTCCTTTTGGGAAGGACTAGTTGTTATTTTCCTTTTTTGGTTGACATTAAAACACTATTAATAATTTGATCTTTTAGCTTAATATATCATGGATATTTGTCTTGGTTGATTTGTACAATTCTATACCATTCTTTTAAACATCTGCTTAATACTAAACATGTAACAATTTATTCAAATATTTCCCAGATGATGAATGTTCAAATTTTTCACAGTGTTTGTACCTCTACAAATAACACCATGTCACACTGAATAGAATGGTGAGGATATTTTTATTTGGTTCATTTTCAAAAAGATGATAGAAATTCATTTTCCTACAATAATATGTGAATGTACCATATTTCTTTACCCTCCCTATCAATGAAGAAAGACAATGACCTTTTAATGTTTGTCAATGTGTTGAGGAGAGTGGAATTCTTGATTGAAGAATCACGGTGCAATATGTGAAGCAAACCCCAGTCAACGTAAATAAGATAGAAGGAGTCCTAGGTTCTGTTTAGAAACTGCTGAAATTTCTCTGGTTGAACCCTGAACCATGTATGTATGGAACCATGCACATATGTATGTGTTTCTACATGGTTTATAATATGATATAATATTGATTTTAGGGTATGAAATATAAAGAATTTGGATTATAACCACTAGAGGGCCGGCCAAATAGTTTAGCAGATTGAAGCGCCTGCTTAGGCAGACACAGGGACGGGGAGTTCAATCCCAGGGCCTGCTGTGCCGGGCCCACCCCCAAGGTGTGCTCAGACGGTGATTGAGATTGAATGTGGTGGCACATGCCTGTAATCCAAGCACTTGGGGGGCTGTAAACAGGAGGATCACTATAAATCTGATCTACACGGTGAGACCCTGTAGATCCTGTCCTAAAATACAAAGAAAAAAAAAAATTATAACCACTAGGAACACCACCATGAAAATAATGCAAAGAAGTACAGATAAAAATTCAAGAATAAATTAAGAGGAAATGTCAACTGAGATTTCATCTGTTATTAGAAACATAGGGCTGGGGAGATAACTCAGTAGAATAAGTGCTTGCCTGGCAAACACAGGGTCCTGAGTTCAATCCCCAGTAACAAAATAAATAAATAAATAAATAAATAAATAAATAAATAAATAAAATATAGAATTTGCCATTTGAGTCAAGAAAGAAAATGCCTGCTGAAGTAACAGAAAGTCAACATTCCTCAAAGGAGTATAACAAGATATATTACAAGTTCACTATGTCCATGACACAATCCAAAATACTGGACGCACAAAAAAGCCCAGAAAATGTTAATCATGCTCAAGAGAAAAAAATGAAAAACAAAAACATAAAGACCAATCAAGAATGGACTCTCCTGTTGGAATTAACAAACAAGGATTTTAAGGCATCTATGATAATTATGCAGAAATATAAAGGAAAAAGGCTTGCAGTTAATGAGACAATTGCAAGTCTCAGAAGAGAAATAGAAACTACAGAAATGAAACACATAGAACATTCTGGAGCTAAAAAACATAATACCTGAAATGAAAATTTTATTGGACCAGATATAGACTGAAGATAAAAGAGAAGATAAACAAGCTTAAAGATAAACAAATAGAAGTTATTCAATTTATTCTTCTGGAAAAATACCCAGAAGGGGAATAGGTGGCTTGAGTGGGATCTCCAATTCTAGCTTATAAGGAATTTCCACACTGATTTCCATAGTGGTTGTACCAGCCTACACTCCCACCAGCAGTGCAGAAGGGTTTCTTTTTCTCCACAGCCCAACCACCTTTTGTTAATGGCCGACTTCTTGACATTAGCCATTCTTTCTGGGGTGAGATGGAATCTCAGTGTTGCTTTAATTTGCATCTCTTGAATGACCAATGATGTTGAACATTTTTCATATATTTACTTGCCATTTGTATTTCTTCCTCTGAGAAGCATATATTCATCCCGGATGCCCATTTTTGGATTGGGTTTTTGAGTTGGGGGGGAGCCTGATGTTTTTTAATTCTTTGTATATTCTAGATAGAAAGTCTTTGTTGGAAGGACAGTCGGCTATAATTTTTTCTCCTAGTCTGTGGGTTTTATTTCTGCTCTGTTGGAGATTTAATTGAAGTATAGAAACTTTGCAAAAAGATGAGATCCCAGTTGTTGATTCTTTGAAGTATTTCCCGTGCATCTTGGTTTTGTTCATGAACTCTCTACCTACCCATATGTTTTTAAGATTTCTACCTACATTTTCCTCCAGAAGATTTAGTGTTTCTGTTTTAATATTTAAATCTTTGAACCATTTTGATTGTAGCTCTGTACACTGAAAACCTCATACCATAGTGAGATATGTGTACCCATGTTTATAGCAGTGCAATTTGTCACAGCCAAATCCTGGAAACAACCCAGATGCCCATCAACTGAAGAATGGATAAAGAAGATGCGGTATTTTTACACAATGGAGTAGTATTCAGCTACTAAACAGAATAAATTTGAGTCTTTTGTTAGTAAATAGATGCAACTAGAGAACATACTCTTAAGTGAAATAAATCAAACCCACACATGCAAACATTGTATAGTCTCAGTGTGAGAACATGAAAGAGAAAAATGGAATCTAAAAAGTACAATAGATACTGGGGAAATGGGATAAATTTATTCAAAGTTAGTGAGTTGAGGAGGATAGGAGAGGAGTTGGGGAAGGAGATTTATTTAGGCATATAAGCAGGATGGTTTGGACAACTGCTAGTGCATTTCTGCTAGTCTATGGGAAGGAGCAGTTAGTGATTAATTTGTTTCATCTCTTTTTTTTCAATTATTTGTACTTTTCCTCTTCTTAATTACTTGTACATTTCTTTCTTTTTTCTTCCAATTTTACATACATATATCTGGTAATATGAATAACTGGCTGAAAGACCAGTATTAAAAAACACTATTTATTGCAATAAATACTATGAAATTTATATTACTTTGTTAAGTGAAATTCTGTATCATTTGTAATTTTTTGTTTTAATTCTAATTTGTGCTCTCTTTAAAAAATAAAAATACAAAGAAAAAATTATCCAATCTGAAGACCAGATAGAAAAGAAACTAAAAAAAAGTTTTAAGGGAGCCAGGGAGATGTCTCAGTA